AAGATACTATATGTTTGTGTAAATTTATAAAACGTTATAAAATTTATTTCTCGCGTAACCACAAAAATGTCTTTTTTTTCCTATAACCAATATCGATATCACATACAAATAACAGGCTCAATGCATGTTCCCGAAGAGTGGCGCATTAGAGATATAATCCTAACTTTCGTATGTTATATAATGAACCATAATTTAACCTTAATAAAATTAAAATGTCTAATTAATTTTGTAAGTCCTTTAACGTTAGAGAATTTTTTTTGATTTTTTGTAATATATTTTGTAATTAAAAAAATTTTTTTTTGTTTAGATGACCGATGAATCAAAAAGAAAAAAAGAAAAAAAAAATTAGAAGAGCAAATTATAAAAGTTCTAAAATTATTAAGTTTAAAATATCTACAAATTAAAAATAAATAGATAGTACACTAAAATATCTCATCATGAAATTCATTTATATATTCATTGTACATATTTGGAGATTGACCATTTATAAATTCATCGTATCCTTTTTGTAAAATTCCGAACCAAGAATGATAAGGAATCGCACTTTCCCATTGGTTATGCCAATGATAAGTAAAAGCACCTCTGAAAAATTCTTTCTTATTCCTCATAGAAGTGGTAGCCTGATGGCCAGAAGGGAATTCGTCATCAGCCACATTTGATTTATAAGTATCGTAGAAATAATTTATATTAGGTTTTGTGACTTGGTTGGATAATTGCAAATCAACTTTTAGCCATAGTGGATCAAATAATGTTGTCGGCATCATGTAAAGATACTTGTCCAAGTCCTGCTTGACAACAATTTGCTTTTTGATAAGATAATACTTTATCTGGAACGGATGGAAATTCATCTTGTGCTGCATAGCATTTTCGACAACGGTACGTACGGTCTCACTTTTTGCATTTAGACGTAGAATGGCAGTATTGTAATTAAGCCAGAAACTCCAACGATAAGCAAATTCTTGATCAAGGTGATAAACAGGTCTCATATCACGTAGGAAGAGAACATCAGCATCAACATACATTCCACCATATCTATACAATAATACAAACCGGACAAGGTCGCTGTATCCAACGGTCGGAATTTTTCGGTTAATTTTTTCCTCCCATCCGTCGTATATTGGATCGTAATCAAGTTGTTCAGTAAGATTCCACCTTCTCAAACGGAAATTGTTTGGGGAGAATTTGAGTAAAGGTTGTATATGAGGATTTTGACTAAAGTCAGCTTCCTGGTTTTGGTCTAGCCAAACGTTTAACAGAGAACAATCTAGGGGTTGAGTGTATAAAAAAGACATTTTTGTGGTTACGCGAGAAATAAATTTTATAACGTTTTATAAATTTACACAAACATATAGTATCTT